TATAATACTAAAACCTAAACTGTAAACCCTAAACCCTAAGCCCTTAACCCCGTATCCTCAGTTTAATATCTAACTCTAAACCCTAAAACCTAAACCCTAAACCCTAAACCCTAAACCCCAAACCCTCGGCGGCTACAAAAAAGATCTGAATGTGGAAACATATATATAAAAAAAGAAGCAAATGCAGCAGCTACAGCTGCAGCAGCAAGTGCTTTGCTGTTGCTGCAGCAACAGCTGCAGCAACAGCTGCAGCAGCAACCGCTGCAGCAGTAACAGCTGCAGCAGCAACAGCTGCAGCAGCAGCTGCTGCAACAGCTGCAGCACCAAACAGCAGAAACACAGAAACCACCACAACAAAACCAAGCATTTATGCTTCTGCAAAATACAGACACCCTGTCGCTCTTGCTGCTGCTGCTGCTGCTGCTGCTGCTGCTGCTGCAGCTGCTGCTGCAGCAGCTGCTGCTGCGAGGACAGCTTAGCTGACGGGGACTACCCGTGAGCCCCCTCGGTGGTGCTGTACATTGGCACTGCTTCTGCTGCTGCTGCTGCTGCTGCTGCTGCTGGATACACCCGTGCGGCTGCCTGCAGCAGCACCAGCAGCAGCAGCAGCAGCAGCAGCAGCATCTGTTGTCAAGCTTTTGCTGAGGGGGAATGTAATAAAGCCAAAGAAAGGAGAACGACACACAGGACACTTCTCCTGGTGCAGCGCCTGGAGGCATTCTAAACACAAAGCGCAGTGTCTGCAGCAGCAGCAGCAGCAGCAGCAGCAGCAGCAGCAGCAGCAGCAGCAGCAACATCAGCGACAGCAGCGACAGCAGCAGAGCATTATATAAGTACAAGCAACAAAAGCGGCATAGCAACAACAGCAGCAACAAGAACAGCAGCAGCACCACCAACTGCAGCGATGATGAAACACATATCAGTAGCAGCAGCAGCAACAACGGCAGCTGCAGCACCACCGCCAGTAACAGCAGCAACAAATGCAGCAGAAGCAGCAACAACAGCAGAAGCAGCAGCAACAGCAGCACCACCAGCACCAGCAGCAACAGCAACAAATGCAGCAGAAGCAGCAACAACTGCAGAAGCAGCAGCAACACCACCACCACCACCACCACCACCAGCACCAACAGCAGCAGCAACAGCAGCAGCAGCAGCAGCAGCAGCACCACCACCACCACCAGCAACAACAGCAGCAGCAGCAACACCACCAGCACCACCACCAGCAACAGCAGCAGCAGCAGCAACAGGAGCAGCAGCAGCAGCAGCAGCAGCAGCAGCAGCAGCAGGATACCTGCATGGATACAAAACGACGTTTTTTGGGTTTGTCATACAAACGAGGCACTCTATATCTAGGGCCCCGCTGCTGCTGCTGACCCCAAATATATCTCCTTTTTCGTGGGGTCTATCTAGGCTCCCCCCAGCTAGCAGCTGTCTATACACCTCATACCGATGAGATATATAACAAGCAGGTAAAGGTGCTGTTGCTGCTGCTGCTGCTGCTGCTGCTGCTGCTTCTGCTGCTGACATACGAGATCTGCTGCTCGTTGAAGGCGGAGGAGGAGGCAGCGGACGGCACCGCAGCAGCAGCAAATGGCAAGACGCCTGCAGCACAACCCACACACTCGCAACCCTCGCTGCAGCAGCAGCAGCAGCAGCAGCAACAGCAGCAGCACCAGCAGCAGCAGCAGCATGCGCTTCTGCTGCTGCGAAGGCAGCAGCTCAGGCAGCAACAGCAGCAAAATACGTGAAGACTCGTAGCAGATTCAGCCAGCCACAGAAGGAATGAGACGCAGCAGCAGCAGCAGCAGCAGCAGTAGCAGCAGCAGTAGCAGCAGCCACAAGGCTAGCAGCAGCATTTGTTTGTTGCTTGCATCAGGAGCAGCAGCAACCGCAGCAATAGCAGCAGCAGCAAACCAGCAGCAGATGCAGCAGCAGGCAGAAACAAACCTCTCCCTTGCTCTGTAGGTGCTGCGAGCCTAGCGACTCCTTCTCCCCCTGAAAGACAAACCCAAATTGCAAGCAGCAGCAGCAGCAGCAGCAGCTTAAACGCAGCAGCAGCAGCAGCAGCATGCATGCATGCATGCATGCACTGCATCCACAGACACTTCATACAGAACATGGATATATATATATATATAAGAGACCCCAACGCAAGCGCGCATACATCCACTGCTGCTGCTGCTGCTGCTGCTGCTGCTGTTGCTGCTGCTGCTGCTGCTGCTGCTGCTGCTCCTTACAGGCGAAGACCAGACAGACGCAACGATGACCAACGGGAAGACCGACTCTACAAACGGAGAAACCCGGCCAGCCGTATTGTCCTGCAGCAGCAGCAGCAGCAGCAGCAGCAGCAGCAGCAACAGCAGCAACAGCAGCAGCAGCAGCAGCAACAG